TTATAATATTATTCACAGTGCAGTATTTGTAGAAACCGTTCTCTAAAATTCAATACTTCTCAGCCATTGATTTGCTAGCAAAAACCGTCATTTGAACATCGCTCATTAATGATAATGATAATAAGTATAAAATTAAGTATTATATTAAAAATGGTATGAAATTAAAGAAGGATCATTCCCACAGAACTGTGAAATTGTAAAGGCCTTCCACATTTTCTAGAATGAACAAATTAGAGTCAAGCCAAAGTAGCAGATATAGCCTAGAATTGTAAATTCCGCTATATTCTTGCACATGAAAAGACAGCAAAAGTTTGAATAAACTATATCATATTAATAATAATAATAGCAATAATAACAACGGAGTTTCAACGCCACTTATTCTAGTTCAACAGCCCGTTTAATGGTATATCTTTTCTACTACAACACGTTAACAATGTGTTATATTAAAGGCTGTCCATGTGGAGTTCGTTAAACATGATGCAGGAAGATGTTTCACGGCAGGTGAGCTGCATGTCTTGCACATTACCAGACATGAAACGTCTTATATTCTTAACACGTCTGAGCAAAAATAGTATCATAATATTGTCAGTTATTGTCTTGCTATCAAAGATTATGTTATTATTGATGCTATGTATGATATGAAGAATTATTGGATGAGAATATGTTTGATGTGAAGAATTATTGGATGAGAATACGTATGRATATGAAGAATTATTGGATGAGAATACGTGTGATATATGATGAACTACTGGCTGAGGGTGTGTACGATATGAGAAATATTGCAGGCCATGACTGGTTATAACATACTTATTTAATAAGCGGCAAAATRCAATATTTCTTCAATTCGGTTGAGGTTGGGTTAGGATAGAGTAAGATCTCTTTTCATACTGTTTGAGACAAAGTGTCAACAATATTTTCAACATTCACTTCAACATCTGTTCGATTCAGTAGCCTGGGGGACTACAATTGATATCGCTATATCTGAGAGAAGTTTGTGAATCCATGCATATGGACACCCCCTTTCAACAATGATATAACTTCCGTTCTTGATGCTCAAGATGTCTTTAAAAATCGCTTAAAAACTTATCTTTAATGTAACATCGCTGTTATCCAAAATTTTACATTTAGGTCGAAAACGCTTCCGAGGATCCTAAATGCGTAATATTCATCTGCAGGGTCTGGAGACGTTTCCACGGTTACAACTATGTTTTGACTAACTAATTTGTGTAATTAGATGTAATTAAAAACTGCTGAAATAGATTTTTATCTACTTAATTCAATTATTGAATTATGTACAAATTTGTACAATTTTAATACACTGATATTTCAGTTTAAAAACATTCAGTACAAAAATAAAATACGAAATAATCGGTCGRAAAAATTAAGTCATTCCATAACTATACAGGGTCAAGTACAAAGCTCGCGCTATTTAGGGGAATGAAGTTAAATCTGGTATTATGTAGTTTTTTCCTCATTTTGTACAYTCGATTATAATTCTATTGCATAATAGAGGCACATATGGTTATTGTCTTAGTGGCTGTCAATGTACTTCATCCTTATCAATTCCACATCGTTTTCCCAATTCTATATAAAGTACCGTGTTGAAATGGAAACAATTTAAGTGCCTAAGGAAATGTCTGAGATGTTTGTGTCTTTTCATAGTAAAACTCTCGAGTTTTGAATGCGCGCTCTTCGAAAAGAGAACTTCATATTGCAATAATAATGCTGTTGCGTGTGGCCAAGCTGTAGATTGCGTAGTGACCGTACARTGACATTTAGCAAATTGCTGAGATTCTTGGCGACAGTAAGATGGAACGTCGAGGTTGTCACATCACCGACCATATGTCATTACGCGTTTGAAAGCAATTAAGACTTCACGAAGTATTAGAGGTGGTCTGTGTACATTGTCYACTTTAATACTTTCTTTGCATAAACTTTTATATAAATATACCTTAAAGGCATCTAAGCCATTGACATGTTAACGAAAACAGCCCAAACTTGTAAATAACGCTCTCCATTCAAAAGACAAGAGGTCATATAGATGTTACCTCTTACGTTCATGAGAGTTCTAGTTTGTACGSTTGCATTTGTTAACAGTTTATACTCACCATTTATGGGACKGCACGGTCCAGGAGAATGACCAAGAACCTGTTTAAAATATCCAAGCCTAATACTGAAAAAACATAAACAGTTTACSACCATAAAATAAACATTAGAAGCGGGATGGTTGGCTAAATAAGGGACGCARCGCCACGCGAATCAATACGTCAATGACAATAGTCACTTACAAGATGTCAAACACATGAGCAGCAATAGAACTTGCAAGAAGGAGAACGACAAGATCTAGAAGTCTTCCGTACGATTGAATCTTCATGGCGCTTTGGAGCGATCTTAGAGTGATTTTCTGACCCTTCACAGGGCTGACACCACGTGTTCAGCTAGGAAACTTAAGCCGTTGGAATGACAAGCTGCAAATCAAGCGTCGACTCGACCGTCATTGGTTTCGTACAGACGTAAAAGTCCGACTTTGGTGTCAACTGATACTCGCGAGAAGATTTGGGAGATGATCAGTCAACAGTATTTAGGTCGTCCTTAATGGATTCCAAATAAAGTCTTTATACAGCTTATTTGTAAATGAAAATATGTTTTTTTTCTTCAAGTAGAATTGTAATTATTAAAAGAAACCCAAGCTTTTAAAGGCATTTAGTATYTTGAGTTTTTTTCCCGATAAAAAACGCACTGATACGTTTGCTAATGATCTTGTAGTGGAAGTCATTTAAATTTTCTTTTTGAGGTAGCTAAGCTAGCCACGAAAGTTATTGTTGGCTTTCGGTAGCCTGTGTGCAGACCGAAATTTCGGTCTGTACACAGACTAGCTTTCGGAGACCGATGAAAAAAGTAGTTGTAATTCAGATGATGGATGACATGACCTTTGAAATAGTATTTTGCTATCACTCCTTTTAGGCCGCATCCAAAAGTTTGCAGCAGTTTTTACGTGCAKCCATTGGTCCCAATCCAAATCTCCTTGAACTTCCTTAACGAAAAGCTTCACAAACCGCGGGTCAACTTAAAAAGRAAGCGGATGAAGGAGAAAGCACTGCGTGTTTTTCGGTCAAGAAATAAATGCGTTGAAAGGGTTACTGAAGTTCAATTGTGCGCAACCGCAGTGATGTTCTAAGTTTTTTGATGTATATATGATGTAAGTGTCCAAAATGATGTAAATTTGATGTAAATCATTTCCATCAAATTTCCATCATTTTGTACACTTACATCATATTTCCATCAAATTTACAACCTTTATGGCGCGCGATTTTTTCCAGTGTTTGTCGGGTGGACCCGTATATCAAACTTTGTCTTATTATCTTTGACTGCAGTGTGCTCGAGCAAGGAATGTCACATCATTCAGTTGAGCAAGCCGCGTGCTTTTCATGTTTCTCTGATGTGACTTGAATTGATAACGTGATGGAGCTTAGAGAAAAAATTAACTCCAAAACGTTTAGGATCTTCACAAAGAAGATTCATACGTACCTTAGCATAGCCTCCATTTAGGATAAACTCAAATCTATGAATTGAACTATTGTGTAGCCTTTCTCTTGAACACTTTATATCATTAGAGTTCAATATATTTATCACCCTTTTTTTTCTTTTCCTTATCTTAAAATATACTCTTCTTTGTTATTTCTGTTAAATTTACCTTTACCTTTCTCATTTTGATCTTAATTGTTCGTTATGTTAGACAAGTAGTGTTATTGTAAATAATTGCCATRTAATTTATCTATTTATTTATTTATTTATYAATCTGGCCCGCCTAGACTAGCAAAGCTATTTGCAGGCCAAGATTTACTTTCTGTAATAATTGTATGTTATTTTTCGTAAACAAAATTGAAAAAAATTGAAATTGAAGGAAATCAGGAAATCAACACACCTGAAAACGGCGTTCTGTATAAGATTTCAAGAGTGACATCATTCCAGCTGCAAGATTTTGCTTTGGGTGAAGAACATGGATTCGTAAC